CCCCCCCCCCCCTTCAGATTATGCCCCTCCACCCCCCTCCCCCCAATGTCTACAGCCCTGAATTAAAACCCTTACCCCAACTTTCAACTTTTGACTTTTGTACTGTTGAGGAAAACCAGGCTGACCTTCCCATTGGAATTAAATTAGCCATTTATATTCCTACAATCAACAATGCAATTTAAAAAAGTTTTAAAAACAATATTTGTTATCAAGAAAGCCAGAGAAATACAGACATTCCTCACCTAAGTATGAAAGTATGACCAAATGTTGTATTACAAGTAAAATGTCAGGGCTAAGACGTCTTGAAAATGCATTAATAATATTTTCACAAAATCCAGGTTCACGACCGCCATTTTTGATTTTCCCCGCGCTTTTCAAACTGAAAGTAAAAAATATTTACATGAAGTATATAAGTCGCGAATATGCAAAATCCAAATTCGAAAATAATTCAATTTTTGAATTTTTTGTGAATAATATGAAGGCAAACGCTAAGACGAGAGAAACAAAACAAACAATTTTATGACTAAATACAGTTAAAGTCCACGTTTTCTCTTTCAAAATTCATAATTGTTCAAAACTGTACAGGGCCGTTGCGAAGGGATTTGGATTGGGGGGGTGTCGAAGGTCAAATTGCCGAGTGACGCTAGTTGAATTTGCCGACTTTTTCAAAAGTTTGTAAAGGTTAGATATAGGTAATGAGAATCATATTGATTATTGGTGTGCTAGTAACTGCCCTAGGGACACCAATATGGCTCTTGTTTTGAAATGGATGCCTGTTCGTGGGTTGTTGCTAAAAAGGAATCGGGTTCCTTTATATATAAAATATGACATTCTAAGAACAAACAAATATAAGGTCACGAAATCGAAACACACAATTGCAATAACTGCAATCACAGCTCAATGATGAGCACCGCTATTTTATTTTCGTGCGTTTGTTTTCAGATAGGAGTATTATTTTAATTTACTTATATTAAACATATAAAGCTGGAAAAAATTTAAATTTAACATAATTTATACTGTGTTTTCATAAGTCCTAAATCGAGACTAAAACTATGTCCACACGATTCACGTTTTTGAGCGTTTTTGCAGTGGTGTTTTCAAATTTAGCGTTTAGGCGCCTTGTTCACATTGATCGCTTTTCTCGCAACATTTTCTGACAAAGCACTAGTTTTTTATAGTCTTCGTTTCCAAATTCAAACACGGAATTTCATTTTCGCCTTCCACTTTTCTGTTTACACAATAACAAAGTGCCAAAACGACCAAACGTTTCAGACATAGAAAACGAATCTTTGGCACCGTTTTCACTATATTTGAAACGTTTTTGTGCTTCCTGACGTCGTTTTCATACGTTTTCGTGTGAACAGAATGTACGTGAAAATGGTACTTTCAGTTTCAGTTTCAGAAATTAACGCAATACAACCAAAAACCGAAAAACGCTGGGAAACGGTACCGTGTGCATATAATCTGAGTAACGAGTGTCTTAGACTGTGGTGCAGACGCGCATCTCCGGTCCGCAAAGTCAGAAAAGTTATCCAAGTATCTGCATGTGATTGCATTGATATTTTGTTTCAATATTTTCATGGCAATTTGATGAATTTGACCTTTTTTATCCCCAGGCGCCGAATAGACAATTTATAATATTTTTTTGTATTTTGAGCAGTCTCAACTCTTAGTGCCGGATAGTGTTAACTCATGGGCTTTTGTACGACCCGATTTTCCAAGAGTTTAAATTTTATGCGTCAGAAAGCGAGTAAAACGGATATGATCATATGCAACCGATGATACCGATCGCTGTATGCGGTATGTCTTTCAAAACTGTAGGCTGATCCTCGAGTTAACAGTAATTTCGCTAAAGAACGAAAGAAGACAAGTCCGTTCTTACGGCATGGCTCGTCTTTCTCTTGGTCTTCTTCTCGTGTGCCTGTGGAGTCTTCTTGAGGATCTTGCGCCTCTGACGACTCAAAATATTCTCTTTGGCTTTGACTGCGCTTTGCAGTCTCAAACGGATTAGCTGGACGTCTTTATGTGCTACTCGCACACGGTTTCCCTTATGGCAAGTTTGCTGGCGTGCCTCTTACGGTAATCGTCGGGCCGTATGTTAGATAACTTTTATGGTTAATACGTTTTCCCTCGTGAAATAAATAATAAAGTTTCTATAGTTTCTATGTATTACATTCAAGATACTGAAGTTTTATTCTTTTTCTTTTGGGTTTTGAACCGCGTATAATTGATAAAGAGCCTTCGCTATGACAGTCGAGCGAAAAACATGACCGGAAACGTGGGTTTCACATTTCGAATTTCAGCCTCCCGTCGATTTTCGACAAATAAAAAAACTAATAGTATTACTAGAAAATAGAAACACATTTAAATGGTTTTGACATAAGGCGACACAAACCATTATTTTAAATCCCAAACTTATCGCTTTATTTATCGCCTTCGTTCTTAACTTTTACAATTTGCTGAATGCCGATTTCGCAATTTGCCGAACAGTAACGAAGCAATTTGCCGACTGGGGCCGACTTGCGAAAATTATTGGGGGGGTGAAGCACCCCCCACACCCCCCCGCTCGCGACGGCCCTGACGACATGTTCTGCGTTGATCTTCTCCGAGAACTACTCCTGCTTTTACCAACGAAAGCGAGCAAAGTTTCCCTGTAGTCGGGTAGACGTAGGGCATACAGAATTGGGTTAGCCGCGAAATTTAGCATGGCAATTGGTGCGTAGCGATAGGAGAGGTTATGAAGTAATGATCCGGCGGTTTTATCATGATCAAAGTATCCCAGCCTTGCCAAGAACTGTAGTTGTTTCAGTAAGAAATAAGGAAAGGCGGTGAGGAAGAGAATCGGTGTAAGAATTATCACAGTCTTTGCGATATTCTTGTGCTTGGCATTTTGAGGATTTCCAGTGCTTCGTCCACTTCGAATTATCTCGATCGCAACTTGGATAATCAAAACTATTTGAACGACAAGTGCGATTTGTAGTACCCCTATATGAGCTGTCCAAATTTTTAAACCCATCGTTTCTGGCAAATGAAAAACGTAGGTGATCTGAGTGAAACCCAATAAAGATGCAAAGAACCAAACTGCTGTGCCAACCAATACGATCTTTAGAGTGGTGAACCAATAGCGACTTTTGAGCGGAAATTTTGTGATTACGAAAATTTGTACAGAGAGAAATGTCAACCATAGGAACGAAGCGGAAGTACCAAAACCCCAGCCAAAAGTGGTGATGGTATAGTATAACTCATTGTATAACTCGTTGTTTTGGATGAAAAACGGCTGACCCCATAAAAAGAAGCACGATACACATGAAATAAAGTCTGCAATTGCCAGGTTGAGAATAGTACCCATGGTCCTTTGCGAAGTATTTTCAAAGGATCGATAGCCATGGCAATGATTACAACAAAGTTGAGCAGTGCACCCGTTGCTACTACAGACATAACGGCGATAATGATATTCATTGATTCTTGATGGCCAAGGAAATGCCATGACTGTAAGAGAATAATATTGTAAGAAATGAAGGTTTAGTCATTCCCTGTAAATCGGATACACATTTCGTTCTGATTTTTAACTTCGATTTTCTCGGCTAAAACGAACCATCTCCATCGTGTTAGTAACGGAAAAACCCAAATACAATTACGGATTAGTGAGGACGGCTCCTGAACAAAATATGAACTATATATATATATCCTACCTTCGAAGACGATGTTGTTTCGTTGTTCGCATTAGAAACATTGGAAGATACGATTTTAATGATACTTGGTGAAGATGTACTTTGACCTGCTAACGCCGGCATGCACATGAGTAAAAACGCTATCAACAATTCAAATATCTCATGTCTACGGCCAAAAAGCATCATTGCAAGTCCACTTTAGCCCGAACTGAGTATAACCAATGTTCAAGTTCCTTTTTGTAGTGTGTGGTTGAATTACAAAAGTGCTATATTTATATATAGATACGGACTGTGACGTGTTTTGAGTATAGGAGATAGTTGCTATAACATGTAGGTTTATCGCATCAGTTAAATGTTCTCAAAAAAAACGTTCCAATATACTATATATAATGGTGCATGTGTATATTGTCGTGATTTAACCAATAGAAAAATGTAAGTATTTTTGTTTTCTTGAATGGTCAGTGTAGGTAGTGGCAATAATAAGAAACGAAGGGCCCTTCGCTCGAAACGTCGAAGGTCTCCTTGTATTTTTCACTGAGATAGTTGTATCCCTTTCCCTATTAGTAATTATTCTTTGTGCCGACTGATAAGATGTTGATATAAACAGCTCTACATGCAGCTGAATTATTAATGTACAAATGATGTGTGTGTGTTAAGAACTCTGTATAAGGTCTGTCTGCTGATAGCGATGTACATTCAATAATTCAGCTGCTTGTTAAAAGCTTTCGGACATATTGGAGAATTGTTATTTGCCCGCTGCAAAACGCACTGGTAATTCTGCCATAAACTGTAGTAGGTTCACTCGGAGGGGTTCATGGTTGTTTTAGGGTCTGCCGAAACGCTATTTCATGCAAATTAGACACGTTTTATGATAATCTGATCAAGCCAAAGATTTGACATATTTTATGTCATAGATGAAAACAAGAGGTTACGCCCGGCCCCTAATTTCTCCTCAGTTTTTAAAGAATTACAGAATTGGTCCTGAAGAAAAGTGGGAGGAGGTGGCCCGGATCCCCCCC